GGTGTATATAATGAACAGATAGAGAATATTTTAATTTACATATTTCCCTACAAGGCTCATTCATTCTCTCAGCAGGTTTTGAATTTAGCCTACAGACCTGATAAAGGAATTATTTTACTGCACTTAGAAGCTTAGTTAGAAAGCTAAATTATAATTGTAATAGGACATTGTATTCTTTGTACATATTATTTTGTGTTCCAAATGACATATCTGAAATAAATAAATATTCAGAAAAGCACTAACATCAATTCTACCAAAAAGTAGGGTTAACATTTATTGAGACATTTATTGCAATTTTTTTTGTTATAAATGTAATTAAAATGTAAAAAAAATGTAAATTAAGAAAAAGGAAAACATAAATGAAAAAATTTCTAAGTGAGATATGCAAGTTTGAGTAACTTAAATATTAGTAAAACATTTATATAGAGTCCCTGTGGAGAGAAAAATTTTACATTAGTGGTCATTGAAGTTTACGACTAGAATTAATTCACCATGAGTTATTTGCAGAGATTTCACATCTGTTTGAATTTCAGTGTTGTTTGCCATGCTGTGAATGCTGTTGTTATTTAGATAAAAAGCATTATCTTTTTAATCCAGATAATAAAATCAATACTAATATGAGTTACTTATAGGAGATTTTTTCCAAATTTTGGTTTGACACAAGGCACACCTCAAGTCCTCAGTACAAGGAACATACACATGTAAAATTTACAATGACACAGTAAAATACCAGACAGTAATAAGGCTTCTTGAAATTGAGATGTCACAGAACCAGAAAAACACCTTCAAACTTTGACTTCACTTTGTTTTTTTCCATGGAAATATTTGAGTCACCTGCAGATTGTAACCAAGGCCTCTAGATGCATGCTGTATACATTTTGTGTTGGGAGGTCTTGGATTCTAACAGCAATTACTACTGTTTATTTTAAGAGCTTTAGGCCTCTTTTCACAACTGCTTTCATTTAATTTTGTTTTATTGTTCTTTGAACTGTCTCTAACTATAAAACAGTGTGCACCTAAAGGCTTTGGTGTCTAACTACTACAACAAGCAAAAAAAGTACCCAGTGTGAGTACAGATAGTTTGGGTAAACAAAGTTTCATACTACATCAACTGATGTCTAACTATGAGTGCCTAGTTTCATAACTGCAACCTTATCTCTCTTATCTACTATGTTTGTTGTCCAAAAAGTAGTGCATGTAGCTTTCAAATATGAATTTGATACAACCAAATACATAACATTCAATAGATTATATTGTACAAAAACTACTGTAACTTAGTTGGCTTTTTAACTAACCTAGGATAAAAGATTTAATTACTTCTCAGATCAACCTTTTCCGTTCCAAATTCGTCAAGCTCTGATGATAGCTTATTGACTTTTACAGCTCAAATAAAACAAATGTTCATGTGATTCACAGTGTACAATTTTCTCTGCAATTGGTTAAAAATGTGAACAGTAGCAAGGTCAAAGAATTATAATCTTTGTTGTTGGTGTAAAATGTGCTTAATTATCCAGTGTAAATATCTTAATAAAGTTTATAGCATATAATTATTTACATGAGATAATTGAAAGGAAAACACATATCATGGCACCAAATTTTTAATACTTATAAGGTAAATTGACTATTTTTTTGTGTTTATATATATATATATTTCCTTGATCTGTTTCTCTGCATGGCCAAGCAAAATAAAAATAATGCTCAAATTGCATATGTGCGTGTACAAGGTAATGGAAATAATTAACCAATAAATAAACAACATTTCCTTCATTAACTGTTTCAGCACGAGCTCAGTCCCCGAGACTGACTTCGTAACCATTTTGTGCTTGTTATAGTTTTCATGCTATAACTTTTAAATTAGTATGCGAATGTTAATGA